AAAAAAAAAAAAAAAAAAAAGGAAAAGCAAGAGAAGAAAAATGCTTCGTAAGGTACATACCAATTTCGAAATGACTCTTTCGAGTAAGAATCCGCTGCATACAAGGCAAAATTGTACAGGATGAATATTGAAAATCGCGAAAATTCAAGGCTCGTTTTCGAAGAATTGGTTTCAACAATGGTAACAGGTTCGCAGCGAAAGTACAATTCATCCATTCTCCACGACATTGAATCAGCGATGCGATTACCATGCCGCAAATATTTTTTTCACCACTTGTAAATTACACGAAACGTTGATACGCGGAACGAGAAAATATAGAGAAATAATTTCAAAGGAGAAACAGACGGAAATATGATAAATGAATTACCGATCATTCGTTAAAAATATAGGACTGCCTTCGCATCCAGGGAAACCAGTCATGTCGATTAGAATAAGACATTCGTTGACTCCAAGTAAGTTTCCTACAATGCCATGGCTCGTAGAGTCTATGAAAAAAGGATTTCCGAACGGTGTCGAAGTTAATTCAACAATAGCTCCTTTTGTAAGTTTGCCGATAGCAGCTTGTTTCGCAAGTTGAAATAAAATTTGTTCAATTTTCGTTTTATCCGACAGGTCATTTTCTACGAATGTCCAGTTCTTTTCACGTCCTTTTGTTTCAGCGCTTGTTTCAAACGACTTGCATTTAATTACCAAGAAGACAGATAACAAAAGATGATCAGGGCCATGTTGGTTCTTAAAGGTGAAATTTCTCAAAGAGTTGTCTAGCGTTTCCTTCAAAAGAGGACATTTCCAAACAGCTACTAACTTTGCTGATTTCTTTAACGAATGGTTACGATGTATTTGAAATGTTAATTCATCGATCAATCCCTCTGACGTTTGAATCATAACTAAGTCTCCAGTGTTTAAGACTGTAAAGAACCGAAGGAAATCTGGAGATCGGGATAAAACAGGATCTAGTATGGAACCGTGTGCAAGCACCCAATCTCTTGCAATTAAGATGCCAGAACAGCCATATGAAATCATTGTGCCTTCCATCGAAGAAACGTACGACATGAAAACATTTTCTGCCATTGTTGATATCTTCTTGTTCCTCTATATATATGTATATATGTCGGCTTGTTTCCTAATTCTTTTTCTTCTTTGCCAAAGGCTGAAACAAAAAATAGATAAGAAAGATTGAAAAGCTGGTAGGAAGTGTGAGAGCAAAGATTACCATGAAAGAAAAGTCGATTTCATTCATGAAAATATGGAGCAACAAAGGCAAACTTTATCAACAATAGAATTAGATAGGTGAGTTGAAAATGATTCACATTTCTTTTCCTACCTGAATACAGAGCTATTCGTATTCAGTGTATGAACTGTGTGTGTGTGTGTACATAGGTAGGTAAGTAGGTAGGTAGGTATGTAGATATGTATGTGTTTGTTGGTTACAGTGATAGATCCTATATTTTCCGCAGCTCCGCTGCCCCGCCTCACGACACCCACGGTTTTAGCAAGCGACTCAATGACACGTGTACTCAAGGCAATTTCTTCGTCGTTCCACGTGTATTCCAAAATTATCGTTGATCAACTGTCTTTTATTCTCTCGCCAACGCCTGCAGTATCATCTTTTGCCATCGTCAATTTTCAAAATATAGCTGGCAACATTGCGTCACGTGTCCAGGTTCAATCTCGGAAAAATTAATTGAAACGATGAGAGATGATTTGAAAGAAAGGGAAAAATAGAAAAGGGAAAGATCGAAAGGAAAAAAACGAAAAGAAAGGAGGGGAAAAAAAGGGAAAAAGGAAAAAGAAAGAAAGTATAAAAAGGAACGAATGATCGAAAGGAGGAAAAGAAGGAAAGAATGGTAGGGTGGAAGAAGGGAATAGGAATTTGTAGAACGGCAGATAAAAGAAGACGAGGAGAAAATGCGAACAAAGAGAGAGAGAGAGAGAGAGAGAGAGAGAGAGAGAAGTTCATTAATGGAATGATGGAAGAGGGGGGTAATGAAAGGAAAGGAAAACAAGAACGAAAAAGATGGAAAAGGATGGGAAAGGAAGAGGGAAGAAGCAAGGAGTAAAAGAAGGAGAGAGTTCGCGACGGACAAGATGTAAGCTACTCGTTATTTGCAAGGAAGAAGATTGCAGGCTCTATTTCTGCCTGTTCGCAATTAGCCGGGCAGCTGGTGGTGCCGAGGGAGGTAACTCGAAGCTGAGAGACCGGGGGGGCAGAGCGATAACGCAGCGATTCTCTGGGCAAGTTGAAGGGGTGGCGAAGAAAGGGGTTCTCCCTGAAAGAGAAGGACGCGCGCACCGAACACCCGCCGAGAGGTGTATATTAGACGCGGAACGCCGCGACGCCCAGATCAGAAGGATTCCGTTCGTTGTGCTGTCGCTGTCATTCAAGGAAGACCATATCAAGGTATGTCTTTCGAGATACCGATTCAAAGAGTCACTTTCTAGTTATTGTTATCTCGATCGACAACAAAGTTCCGATTTTGGAGAAAACTCCGTATCGTAACGTTGCCATTGTCTTTAAGGTTTGGATTCGTCCTCGGTATTCAGTGTCGAGTGTCGAGTGTCGTATGTCTAAGTGTCTCGAGTATCGCGTATCGTGTCGTGACTAGGGAACGGAGCAACGGAGAAAACCGAACGCAGAATTAATCCGCAGAGAGTCGAGTCAAGCTGACAACCGGGTCATTTTGAAAGGAAATGCACCGCATACCACTGATGCTTCCTTTTTATAATGTTTATAATGTTTCCCAAAATTGTTTTAGAAACGATTGACGCAGGACGAGAAGATAACTAAAACGTGAAAAGATCTAAAGGACTATTTTTTTTTTTTTTTTTTGCTCGAGTCAAACGATACTCGTTCATGCGCGTTCGGTTATCATAGTCGTATCCCATTTCAGCATAAGCATATCGACGAGTAAATTGAACGAACTCGTTTAAGAGACGAATAATTGAAACAAAATGATGAAGTACGTATATGTGTACATATATACGGTCAACTGTCTACTACCCAATGCGATATACTGCGATATATCGAGGAAAGAACGACGTTCTCTCGCTTTCTCTAATTGCTCGTTTTAATTCATATCAATTGCATCATGCCACGGTTGTTCGAGAGTGATATCATAAACGTCATCAACGAAACATGTTGACGCACGCTTTCGAATGAACCCATGAACGTTTGAACAGCTGGATGTTTCAACTAGTCAGAATCGTTTGCCGAATCGTTTTTTTTTTTTTTCTCCTTATTATATAATCTCCGAATCATAAATTGACCTACAAACTATTTATATTTCTATATTTCTACACCTATATATTCGACGTGATTCGATATGTTCAACATACATTACTCACTGCTGGTTGTACAATTCATCTTTCCAACGATAAAGGTCGATGTTGATGATTTTTCATCGATTTCGTCGAATCGACAAAGAACAGGCAAAAAAAGGTTGGAGAAAGATTCGACGGAGTGGATGATGGAAGAAGAGAGACAGAGGAACTTTACGCTTATGAACGCCTATGAAATGTAGAGGAAGAGTTGTAAATACATACTTTTACATATTATCATTGATCTAATTGATAAATATTGGCAACGGTGAAAACCAGAATAAATATAGGATACTTGGCAATCGAAAGTCATGTATTTAAAAGTTAGCGTCATCTCTAAATAAACTTGATCAATGGTAAAATCATTAAATCGCGCTTAATCCAATTGCACTTGATTAATTGTTTGTTTGTATGTTTTATATTAAAATTTTAGAATTGAAAGTACGTAATATAGTAATGTTTCAATAGTCGTTGGTAAGTCTATGATATTATGCAATAACCATGATTCGTTGGCAGCAACGGCAGTAAACATATAGAATACGTCGATGAATGCACTCGTGATGTAGGAGCGATACAGGATTATGTGATTACGAAAATTCAGAAAGGATGGATTATCGAAGAAAAATCGATTGTATCGCAATTGTAAATCAATCGGTTGAAAACCGAAGGAACGTAAGTAGATGTACAGACGCGAATTCGTTCCCAGCGAATCGATTGTTTGAAAAATTATTTGTTAAATTTCTCTATGGCTGAATTATTAGAAAATGGTGAATGGAAGCAATCTCGTGAACGATCAAAATTCGATACAAGTCACATCCTTGATACAAATAATGCATGCACCGACCGACCGACCGACCGACCGACCGACCGACCGACCAACCGATCGACCAACCGACCGATCGACCGATCGACCGATCGACCGATCGACCGATCGACCGATCGACCGATCGACCGACCGATCAAACAAACCGAACGAACAAACGAACACCGATTCAGAAAGCTATTCTGGGAATTTGCTACGGAATTCGAAGGCGAACTACTTTCCGTTTTCAGAGAAGTCGTCGAGTTATTTATAACTGAGTTTTATCGTGGTTCGTTTGTTCGTTCGAAAGGACATTCCATCTTTCTCCCGTGTCTGCTTTTTTCTTGATTTTAATCTTAACTTGCCTCGTAGAAAAATCTTTGCTCGATACTACTCGAAACACGTAAAAATCAATTTCGCATATGCACGTGCATGTGTACGGTCTACATACACATTGAGTTGACTCGATATTCATCAAAGATTCGAATCGAAAAGGGCTGCGAAGGGCTTTGCGGCAAATATCGGGGGAATGGCGCGAGGGGGTAAAGAGACCAACACGTGCCTCAAAGTTTCCGTCCAAACGGATGGAAACGGTTTGGGGTTGATCAAACGCGATTTGGAATTTCCTTGAAATTTCCTGCGACGAATAAGCGACGAATAAGCAAGAAAGAAAAATTTGAAAAAAATTCGAGCTTGGAATTGTCGGTTAGCAGGGATAGACGGGCGGGCATGCACGGGTGTGAATGAGAGAATGAAAATGAAAAACTTGGATGAAATGAAATCTGTTTCCGGAGCGCGGAGCGCTACTTCGCGTAGCGTATGTGTGTGTGTGCGTGCGTGTGTGTGTGTGTGTGTGTGTATGTGTGTGTGTGTGTGTGTG